GCTAACATGCAGAAACAGCAAACATTTTGGAATGCTAACAGCCTTTATTGCAAGTGGATTTGAGTACAGGAAGAAAGAAATCTTACTTCAGTTGTAGAGAACACTGGTTAGACCACACCTGGAGTATTATTGTACTTCTGATTTCCTTGCCTAAGGAAGGATATAGGCAGTGCAGTGAAGATTCATTAAACTGATTCTAAGGACGTAGGACTGACCTATGAGGAGAGCTTCAGGAAACTGGGTCTGTATTCTCTGGAGTTTAGAAGAATATAATGTGTTTTCCTAGAAACTTGGAAATGTATCACAGTTCTTTCAATGCTGCTGGGTCAAAATTCTGAAACTTCCTCCTTGACAGCATTGTGGGTGTGCATAAATCAAATGGGCTGCAGCAGTTCAAGAAGACAGCTCACCATCAGTTTCTCAAACGCAAGTAAGGATGGGCAATAAATGCTGGCCCAGCCGGTGATGCCCACATACCCTGAATGAGTAATAAAAAGAGTATCTTTTAAAAAATACATCTGACTTACAAAAATGAAGTCTACATTTTTCCACATTTTGTCTGTTTGATGCCTCAGAGAGCAGGATTTAAATCTAAAGAATGAAGGGCATTAAAATGATGTCCCAAAGAAAGTACATGCTGGGTTCAGAGTCCAAATAACAAATATTCTTTAGAATATCATTATCACTGGCACTTATTGTCTTTCCCAAGTTGCTCTTGAAAAGATGATGGTGAGCTTTTTCCTTGCACCATGTAAGCTCAAGCAATGAAAGTGCTCCTTCTATGACAGAGAAGATCAAATTATTACTAACGCCAAATATTTTTGTTGAATTCAGGGAAAACAAGGAGCTTGTGGACTTTGCACGGATCCATCCATCTAGTGGTTGCCCTGGAGACCTAAATCCAAACCTGATGGTCACTGGAGGGTCATCTTTGCAAGCTAACCAACTAGGAACTGATCCCAATGCACATCCTCACCTTACGCCTCCACATTGGCTTCCAAGGACAGGCAGTCCCTCAGTGTGGATGGGTGGGCATTCATATGGTCAGTTTCTCACATTTATTAAATAGCAACGTACAAGTTTATGGTAGAAATTGATCCATGACTAGAACATGTTTCATACTGGTATCCAAACTACAACAGACACAATGGACACCTTTTTTTTCATTTTGTATTGCATAAAAGGCATGTGCATAAAATATATTTTGAGTAATATTGGAAAAGAATGGAAAAAAAACAAAAACTAGTTTAAGAAATGTGCTGGTGTTGCATTTACTGCTAAATGCTGTGGGTTGCCCGAAACCAGGAAATATAAACCTTGTAATTGTCTGCAGTGTTAACATTCTTAAATGTTTTCATCAATGTATCAGTACATCTTTCTCTCTGTCTGAGTTTTGATATACATTGGTTGATCATTTGATAACTCTAGCTGAGTACTGATGGAAGAAGTTTAGTTGAAAATTTCTAATTGATCCAGGTTGACAGGAGAGTTATCCCACATGTATGTTACATGGAATGAAATGTAAAAGCACAAATGAACCAGTCATGACAGAACATCAGTAGTGAAATCATATGTGGTTTCAACAGTTCAGGAAAACATTCTGATATTTAATGCAGCTGTTGAGAAGATGAGCAACTTTTATGGAGAATTATTCTTGGGCTGGAGGAAAAATAAAACCCCACATTTTAAGTGAATAATGTATTATTCATGCTTCAGTCACAACATGAAAGACCTCCTTTGTCAAGTGAAAGTCTGGAGTTACAATGCATAAATGTGAAGGAAATCAGGAAGTTCATTTGGTACTGTCAGCTGCTTAGAATATACACAGGCCAATTTCCACATGCAAATAGTTTCACAAATGCCGAAGTTGTCTTCAACCGCTGAAATTAGGTGTGAGGGATATCTTGTGACTTCAAACTTAATATTTGCTGTAATTATATCCAGGCAATTGAGATTGCCAGAATGTATATATCTTTCAATGGAATTAATCATTTAAGAGTTGCTAATCAAACTGAAAATCTGCATAGGTTCAGTTTCTGTTCAACTAATGTAGTGGGCAGATCCTATGTATTGTAATTCTGGGAGATAGGAAGACCCTTGGCTTAGAGATTCCACAGGTCAAATCAGTGCAGTACTGAATGGAGGCAGCCATGAAGGAAGTGCTTTTCAATATCACCTGAGTGCAGTATTCTCTCTGTAAGGTGCAATTCCGTCTTGTTCAAAAAAAATTAATCCTGTTGCTAACCGTTTTCTGTTCTTTGTAGATTGTTTGGAATGTAACGTTACCACATGAAAATCCTCTTTTTCAGATCACACTCAAATCCGTGCATGTGTTTTCACTTTTAAATCAGCATTAAAAACTTCACAAAATCGGTTACTGGCCTAACCCATTCCCATTTATACAATAAAAGTAATGTGTCATTCCCAAAGGAAAAGCATATGAGGTGGTCACATTTGGTTGAGTGGGTTTACAAATTTTAAGCTTTCCAAAGTGGGTCTTCTCGTATCCCACTAGATCAGCTGCCAAAGTAATCCCAACATTAGAATCAAGGGAGTATCTGATTACTACTTGTACAAGATAATCCTTTTTGCTGGAACACACAACCCATCAGTTCGGCTCATTGCTGTGTTTGGAAATGCAGCATCTGGAACACAAGACATGAATGGGGCACAGGGGTTTGTTGTGTTTAATATCAGAACAGTGCCCTAAAACAGACCATCGCATTTGCCTTTGATTTTAGCAAACTATGAAGAATTATGAAATATTACTGCTCAGAAATGGACCAGTTGACACATGCGGTTTGCACTGTCATTTTTCTCTACATGAACTAGTTAATTCTGACCCCACTCTCCTACTCCCTCTCCATCTACTCAATTGTACCATTTTCAAGCAACTATCTAATTCCCTTTTCAAATAATTTATGGATTCTGTTTCAACAATAGCCTGTGGTAGAGAATTACAAAAGCTAATCCTGTCAATGTGATGGCATTTCCTAATTTTGTTCTTAATTCATTTTGTGATTATTTCAAATTTATATAGTACTGCTTTAGTTTCTTGTTCTCCATCTTCATCAGTTAATAACCTTTCATTATTCAATGTACTAAAAATCAGAGGGCACGAGCAAAACTAAAAATGATTTCTTGCTTTAAGCTAATGTAATCCAAATATTTCTTCAACTCAAGGGAAAATATGAAATTCTGCTGCTTAGTGCAGAAGATAAGCGATCTGTTTTCATAGAATCATAGAATCCCTTCGGCCCAACAAGTTCACACCAACCTTCAGAGCATCCCACCCAGACCCATCCCCCTGTAACCCACCTAATCTACACATCCCTGAACTCTATGGGCAATTTAGCATGGCCAATCCACCTAGCCTGCACGTCTTTGGACTGTGGGAGGAAACCGGAGCACCCGGAGGAAACCCAAGCAGATATGGGGAGAATGTACAAAATCCACATGTGGAGATCTGTTTTCTGCTGGATTACAGACAGTTTCTGCCATTCCTAGCATTGTTTGACTTAATGAATATTCTGGAGTTCTTTCATAACAAGCAATCAGTGATGTGATCAGCTGATACCAGGAATATTGTGAGCTGTCAATGAAAATTGTGTTACTATTAAATATACAAACCAACTGCAGAATGTCTGTAAGATTTTTATTTAAGGTTTAGACCAACTCAGTGCTTTGCAGCACCCAACAGCAAAGCCAAATAGGTTTGTGGTACTTAAGGTACTGAGGTCAATTGATCACCCAGCCCACCTCACTGACTGAGCCTTCACTGTGAGAACGGAATCTACTATGTAGGGTAGTCCTAGTTTAACAAACAATAGGAAAACTTTGAATTTCTCTATGCTCATACAATTCATGGTTTTAACTTATAAAACATGTAGGAACATATGAACAGAAGTACACCATTCAGCCCTTGATCCTGTTCCACCATTCAATGAAATCGTGGCTGATCTGGAGCCAAACTCCATATACCTGCCTTTGGCCCATATCCCTTAATACCTTTGCTTAAGAAAAAAAATCTATATCAGTTTTAAAATTAATGGCTGATCTAGCATCCACTGCCATTTATGGACGAGAATCCCAAACATCTACCACACTTAGTGTGTAGAAGTGCTTCCTAACATTTCTCCTGTATGGTCTGGCCCTATTTCTCAGACTGTGCTTCCTGGTTCTAGAACCAGTGGAAATAGTTTATTGCTTTTCCTGTTACTATCTTGAAGACTTCAATAAGATCATCGCTTAACCTCCTAAATTCTAGACAAACAGGCCTAATTTGTATAATCTCTCCTCATAATGTAACCCCTGAAGTCCAGGTATCATTCTTGTAAACCTGCGTCATATTCCCTCCAAAGCCTTCCTAGGGTGTCATCCCCAGATTTGCTCACCACACTCCAAGTGGGGTCTAACCAGGGTTTTGTATAACTGCAGCATAACTTCTGCATCCTTTACTCCAGTCTTCTAGATATAAGGGGCAGCATTCCATTAGCTTTCTTCATTATTTTCTGCATCTGTTTGTGATATTTTAAAGATCTATGCAGCTGAAACCCCAAGTCTGTTTGGACACCCCCTGTATTTAAGTTAATACCATCTAGAAAGTACCGTGATCTATCCTTTCTCGATCCAAAATGGATAACCTCACACTTGCTTACATTGATCTCCACCTGCCACCGTTTTGACCACTCACCTAGTCTGTCAGTATCCTTTGTAATTTTATGCTATCGTCCACACGGTCTGCAATGCTACCTCACTTTGTGTCATCAGCAAATTTGATACATGACTTTCTATGCCATTATCCAACTTGTTAATAAGTAATGTGAATAGTTGAGGCCTTAACTCAGATCCTTGCATGGTCACATCCTGCAAATTAAGTACCTACCCAACAAATAAATGCACTCTTTTTGCTGCGAAGGCAAAAAAAAAATTAACAGTAGCTCTTGTTAAAAATCCAAAATTAGAGAGAAGGAAAGAGAGCCCAAATCATGGACCCACCCCTACCCAGAACAGAGGGTGACCCCCCCACCTCCTCTTACACTATTGGCAGTTCTCTAAACCAAGGATCTTCAAGTTTTTTGCATTTGGCTAACTTGCATGTGTCCTTTCTACTTGATAAACAGGAACTGTGCCCATGTGGACTTTGCAGTAATTTGTTTTGGAAACACACGAGTGCATTATGATTTATTACATTCATTGCTGATCAAAATACCTAATTTTAATGATGTCTTTACATTGACTTTAATTCACTCAAATCTCCTTCAGCAGAATGCATGTAAATATCATAAAAATATTCATAAAAGAATCATTCCAGAATAACTGGCAATTGCTGTACCACCTAGTAACATTAACCCACCCACTGTGTTATTATAACTGATCCCAATAATTGCCAGAAGATTCCAACAGGGCAGCATTACTATTATCCTTACAATTATTATTGTTGGTAGTTAAACTAATGAGATCAAATTTCAGAAGTCCAATTATTTACGGTTAGGGACTAACCTCTTTTCCAAAATAATTACATGCATTTGTTAAAAATATTTAGCTGGAAGTGGTTATGCTAAATAACAATTTCACCTGTTTAAAAAGCAAAATAGTCATCTATTTTCAACCGCAACTCCAGGAAATGTTAAAATGGGTAGAAATTTCAATTATTTTAGTTTTCATTTTCTATGTTTTGGGAAACTGTCAAAGTAATCTTGCTTTGTAAGAGATGATACAGAACAGGATGATGTGTGATTTGGATGGTAATCTGGATAAATTATATAATTGCTGCGTGACTCATTCTGTTTCTCCCTATTTTTATGTGGCTCATTTTTTTAACATATCATTGGCCTTCCATTTAGTTTCTGAAAACCTTTTCTGATGATCTTTATTTTTGTAGGATTATTCAACAAATTATGCTTGTTTTCTTTTGACCTTTCATTTATTTTTGCAGTGTGTTTTTTTTTTCCATTTTCCCCTTATAATGTTTATTCAAACTATATGTGGAATGTTGCTGGTAAAACTGGCATTTCTTGTCCATCCTTAAGACAACTTTAGAGAGCAGTTATAGGACAACTGGTTGGGGTCAGCAGCTTTCCTTTCCTAAACGGCACTAGTGCACTTTGGGTTTTTACAACAATCTGACAACTTCATTTTCACTTGCGGCACCCCTTTATTTCCAGCTTTTTTAAACAGAATCCAAATTCTCAACCTGCACTGGTCCATTTTAAACATGCACGCTTTGGATGACATGAGTCCCAGCATCCGAATAACTCATTCAGTTATGCAACCAACACATCACCATATCTTTCATCTAAAGATCCTTTGGCCTCACAACTTTTTTCAATCTGTAAAACAAAATTACATTGCAAACACATTGTCCAACATGGCAGATAGAATTGTTTACAAGGAAACTCTTTTTGAGAGACAAACGGTTTTGAAATGGTTGAGAAAGAAATAGTATTGCACACACTTCAGGTGGACTTTCATTTTCTGGCTTTAGTGGTAAAGGTAACGTCGCCACAGTCTTGCCAGACCATAGAGCTGCTCTCTCATTAGAGATAGATAACTAGTGGTGGATTAACTCAAGGGTCACTGTGCCTCAGGCGAGTGGAGAGGTTGAGAAGGAGAGTCCTTCATGGTAGTACAGGAATTGAACCCATGTTATCTCTCTGCATCGCAAACCAGTCGGTCAGCCAACTGAGCAGCAACAACAACAAACATTTAGTTGGTGCCTTGAACATACAAAGATGTCCCAAAATGCTTCACAGAAATATAATCAGACAAAGGACGAAATAGTGGGAGGGGAACTTAAGAAGTGAAGAGGGAGAAAGGCACTATTGCTGTGCTGACATCATCTCATAATTTTGCTTTGTCGTTACTCCCTGTGGAAGAATATGTGTCTCTCCTTCCTTTTCTAAATTACTTACTTTCTAGTTTCACTCCCATTCTCAACTTCATCAAATGAGTCAACTTAATTGACCATTAATCATGTGGAGGAGGAAGATTCTTGTAATATAAAATTTGCTGATAACACTGATACTGTGTGTCCAGCAGCACAATGAAGATAAGTAAAATCCAAAGCGAAGTATGCTGCAAAAGTGAATAGGCCTTCATGTGCGTACATTTGATGGATCGTGTTTCAGTGTGTATAAACTTATCATTCTCATTTAAGTTCGATCAAGCCATCAGTTTATATTAGAAAATTGCATTACCTTTTTCCCATTTTGTTTAAAGCTAATACAAAGATCCTAGGAAATCAAGAATGCATTTTGCAGAATTTCCCTCATGATGGAGTTAGTTAGACATCTGATAGAACAATCTTCATGATATGTGGATGGAACAATTGGTAATGGATCAGATGTCCTCTTCTCTTTTCTTGCTTCCTTTGGCATTATCACTGTGAGATATTTTACCAGCAGTGTGCTTAGAAAAAACATGTACTTTACAAGTGAGTGATAGCTGAATATGGGAAGTTTGTACAAATGCTGGAATACGTGGGAGAAGATTCTTTTTTGGTTGTTTTGTATAATGACAAAGCAGATCCATTTAAAAATTAAGTACTTGAGAACTCACTGCACATACTGACCAGATCAGTTCATTCCCTGTAATTGTGCATCACAATATTTACATTTTAACCTTTCTTTACTCAGTTTGTTTTTACAAATGATCTTTTTTTTATTCACCAACACAGGAATCGGTCACCCAGCTCTGCATTCAAATCTACCACCTGGATTCCCAGCATCGATGCCAAGTGCCATGCAGACAGTATTCCCACTTCCCCAAGATCCCTCAGCCCAGCTTGTTATCCTTCCCACTGAGCCACCAGCACCACACCCAACTCCTCATCACCTCGGTAATGCACTGTGTTAATGGTGTGCAGATTAGAGGCGTTAAATTCATTTTTTGTTCTTGACACTTTTTCCGCGATTATTTCATATTATTTAAACAGAATGAACAGATACAATTCAGTTAGTATGAAAATCACTGTTCCCAAAGATGTGCATGCCTGATCCCATCCCTTTTGCCATGGTTACACATTGCTTGATTTTACTGTAAACAGATATGGTTGTGAAACCCTTTGGGATGCCCTTTGGATGTGTTAAGACATATTTAAATATAAGGTCTGTCTTTTTCTCCTGTTTTTCTCTCTTTTGCTTGCATGTACATGGGTGTAGTTCTGTTAAAAAAGGTGCACATTATAATGCAGGAAGCCACAATGTGAAAGAGATTTAATGATAAAGCGGTACATTCGATATTTCTTTTCCTTTTCATAATTTATAACAATAAAATTAAATGAGCTTTAAAAGTCTACATAATAAAGACCAGATGGGAAAAGGAAGTCCTTCCTAGAGAGTGTACGTCATGTGAACCCGTGCATATTGTTAACTTTGAAAAAGGTTGCTTTATCCACAAATAACTTATTTTCCAACTTCAGGTGAATTGGACTTGCCGTGGTCTTCCTGTTGTCTTTTGTGTTGAGGTGTCACAATAAACATAGCAAGGAGCAATCAGAGAATAGGCTATTAGTTCATCATGTCATGAAGAGGTGAAACAGATTCCCTTTCAAACCCCGGAATGGCCAAATCATTCTCCTTTTGCAGAATTTAATACTGTATCATTTTCGGTTGACATATATAATTAGAACATATTTAGAAATGTATTGAAAATCAGATCCATATGTTTTGTATTTAACATCATCCGAATCTTCACAAGCATCTTTTTTTAAAAGTATAAATAGGTTTAAATAAAGTAACCCTTCATAGAAAACATGATTTTTTAACATGGTCTATAATCATAGCATCGATTTTAAAATAGATTTTTAAAAATCTGTTTGATTTTTCCTTGATCCTGTATGTTTGTCCTGAGAGGAGAAAAGATGACCAAGAGTTCTGAATCTGATCCTGTCACAATGCCCATGGGAAAAACCATAAATCAAAACCACCAAATTTACTGAATAACTCCCCAAAGAAGAAATTACCAGCAAGATTCCACTCTTCATAGCTTTTACTTTAACAGAAATTAGAAATATGGCATTACGTATCTGCACAGTTCCACAATATGCTGCTCTTCATTCGTGCAGGGTAGGTCAGAGGTCTTAATTGACCACAGCTTTCGCCTCCCAGTTTTATGGGTACCGTTATCATCGGTAAGGCACACTTTTGTAAACCCCTCTCCCTTGATTCACAACAGTCTTGATGATGTAGTTTTTTAGAGTTTTGTTTCAGCCTACCGAACAATCACACCCCAGTTCACTGTTTAACCACTTCTGGAAAAATACCCAGGTCTTTAGTGTGTCTGAGCTACTCATGTAGTTTTTAGATCTTTTTTAGTCAGCTTGCACAATGCGACCAAGAGCTCCTTTCTTCTTTTCTGTCAAACACCCTGAGGGTGATCTGCTCCTTCTCCTCACAAGAATTCACTGTATTCCTCATTCTGTCTCTGTTAGTTTTCTATTTGTGTGCTGATGGCCTTCACCCTTCAACTTCTTATCTTGAACCTTTATGTTTGCAGCTCCTTTTCTCATCTGCCAGCCATATGGCTTCTTTCTTAACTTTTTTCCAATTGATACTTCTTCCAGGTTAAGGGTCATTGGACTAGTGACTAGTACCAGACACGTGGACCGGTATTCATTATGCAAGAACATAACAGTTGATCATATTAAAATTAATGTAAACTCTTAATTTATTTTCCCAAACATTCCTGAAAACAATTACTGATTCCACTAACCTTTCAATGAATTACAAATTTCCTCACAGTACTGATTCAGGGTCAAAGGTTGTCACAATCTAAACTTAATTACACAGGGTGAAATTCATATTTTTATTGAGAGGATGAAGTCCAGTGTACCAATGTAGTTGCCAATAAACAGGAATCGCTGTCAAAACTGGCTGTACCTTAATGCCAGTGAACGTCTACAATCTCATTTAGACAATCCTGCATAAATAGACAATGTGAAGATCGAAATTTAATCTCCAAAAAAATTATGCTCAACCTGACTTGAAAGTAAGTGCAAACAAATGCATAAAGGGATAAGATATTCCTTTCCATAGAATTTATCCTCAAGCATTAGCAATTTCACTGAGTCACCTTTTTACAAAACAGTAGGGTTAGCTCAGCAGGCCCCTAGATGATCCAGACCAAAAAGGAGTGTACCTAAGAGTCTATAAAGCAGTGCTGTATTTTAATTACTGTATTCCCTATGCTTCCTTTGAGAATGGCTCCTGTTAGAAGCATGAATTCTGTATCCTACTGTAATCTGGTGGAGAATATATCAAAGTAGGTTGTTTGCATTGTAGTAAATGGCTAATATACATGTCACCAAAGAATTCTGCAAATTATAATAATACGCAAATTCAAAAGAGATTCACTAGGCTGATTACTGGGAAGAAAGAGTTGATTCATAAAGTATGGCTAAACATGTTAGGCCTTTATTTATTAGAGTTTAGAGGAATGAGAAGTGAATTTGTTGAAGCATGCAAGATTCTGAGGAGGCTTGACAGGGTAGATGTTTAGAAGATGTTTCCACTAATGGGGGAATCTGGAACAATTGGACATAGCTAAAGAATAAAAGGACACCCATTTAAACCTGAGATGTGAAGGAATTTCTCCTCTTAGGGAATATTGAACGTCTGGAATTCTCTACCTCAAGAGATTTGTGGAGGCTAGATCATTGAAAGTATTTGAAGAGGAGGATAATAGTTTTGAACTATTGAGGAGTTGGGGACTATGAGGAGCTGAGGACTATGAGGAGCTGGCATGAGTGAGGAGTTGAGGCCTGGGGCAGATCAGCCATGATCCTATAGAATGGTGGGACAGACTTGAGGGGCTATATGGTTTACTCCTGCTACTATTTCTTATACGCTTGCAAAAAGAAGTCCTGTGGCATTGCCTTTGCAAGTAGGAAATTTGTAAACTGTAATGCACTTGTCAATTTCAGATAGTGGTTCAGAAGTACTCAACATTACAAGATTGTTTTGCACTCATAACAAAACACAACATCATGAGATTAACATCCTGCTTCAGTGAAAGGATAAGTTAGAATAAATACATGGTGTGATATCATTTCAACTCAGTGGGGAGTAATGGAACAGCATAAAAGAAGACATGTATAATAATGTAGAAGAAACAAGATAGAAAGGTTTAGAAGAGCTTTGACTATAATCATATTGAGAATATAGAAAGATGTGGTATCACCGAGAGACCAAAGACAAGAAGTCATTACTGAGAAAATGATTGCCCCCCAGGTAATAAGCTTCCTCAGCCTATCTTCTATTTTGATAGAGGAGTTGGAAACTAGCTTTTGGGGAAAATTGTAGCAACGGACAACATGTGGCACTTCCATTTGAGTATAGAGTAGAAGAGTAGTGAGACTAAGAATGTTGATTGATGAGGTAAGAGAAGCATAGCGTGCTCCAATGTAAGAGGTTTCAGCTATTGTCTAGACTTGACAGACACTTAAAGAAACAGGTTTTGAAGAATTGAAAGAAAACAGATTGGCATTGTCCCTTGAAGCATGGATGCCACAAGAGACTAAAAGCATTAAGGGTGTGTGATCTGAAGGTATGTGGAATGGATTCAGTGGAAACTTGGATACGATTGAACGATTAGTGAAGAAGGAACAGATTGAGAGCGTTGACCAGGGTCTAGGAACACCTGAGTGAAAGGAGAAATAAGTCTGAGGATGAACCATTAACTGCAGTAAAGATGGAAGAATTGAGAGAACACTGGGTATGTTCAAATTTTCTGGTTGGAGGCTAAAGAAGAAAATAGTGCTAGATTTTTTAAAGACTGAATTGAATATGCATTCTTGGGTCTGTGTTATGCACATACTCCACACGATAATTAATCTGGGAGCAGGTGTTGGCTGCAGTGAGATGCAAAAGTAGAAATATGTTCTCTAATTTAGCATTTAAATTTGCCCAAGAATCTCACCATTGAAAATAACATAATTAAAGACTTTGCTGTGATATGAATGACAGGAATCATTCACATGCACCCATATAACCTAATGACACCCACTGGGTACTCGATTAAGCTTGACTCCAAATCTAAACCTTCCCTTTGTTCATTTTTGCATGAAATCATTTGATTTTATTAGGAACAAAGTTTGTTTCTATGTAAAACTTGATAATTTGTGTATTGATTGCAATGTGAAATGATTTCAGAATGAATGCTGCAAAACCTGAGAACAACAGGGTGTCTTTGAATGCACTGTGGTATTATCTAAATGGAGTTCTTTCTTTGCCGGGGTCTTCTAGCCGAAGTGATGGATCCTGCACATTCTCTCTGGCCTCCTATCTACTCGGCACGAGCGCCCACATCACATATGCAGCATCCAGGACAGCTCTCAGTCTACCCTCGCTCCCAGCTTCTTCGACAGCAGGAACTCTACATGCTGCAACAGCAGCAACAACAGCAGCAACAACAACGGGCACAAGCACTTGAACTCCAACGGCACTCACAACTCGTGGTGAGATAAAACTGCAATGAATGAATTTTGCTTGCGCGGTTTGTTTGTGACAATTCCCCATTCCCCTACTCCACAGATTGTTTTTATTCCACATTCAGCTAGACAGTGTAAGGAGCACCTCGCCTTTTGTAGCTGTTCATCTGTTCTGTTTGATGACTGAGCAAGATCGTGTAAAATGGTACCTGAAGTGGAAAACAATGACGGGCACCAAGGCTCTGATCTCAGCTGGAGTTTTGATCATGTCTGTCTATTCTCAGCTCCCTCTCTGGCTATGAGACTACAGTAATTGAATGGTGCCATGGGAGTTCCAGAGCATGAGAGGAAGTTGTGAGAAGCAGCTATCAAATTGGATGTAGAAATCCCCAGTGGAGCTTGTAAATTTACAACATAAATGCACATTTCATTGACAAAGTGCAGCTCTATTTGATTTGGATAGCTGTATCTCTGTAACCAGTGTAAGACATAAAGTATTTTTGCTTAGGCAAGTTAAAGTATTGTTGCTCGGTAAGGGTGGCACAGTGGTTAACACTGCTGCCTCACAGTGGCAAAGATCCAAGTACGATTCCAGCCTTGGGTGACTGTCTGTGTACAGTTTGCATGTTCTCTGTGTGTTTGCACAGGTTTCTGCTGAGTGCTCTGATCTCCTCCCACAGTCCAAAGATGTGCAGGTTAAGTGGATTGGTCATTGCTAAATTGCCCAAAGTGTCCAAGAATATGCAGGTTCGGTGGATTAGCCATGAGAAATGTGAGGATACGGTGGGTCTGGATGGGATGCTGTTCAGAGGTTGGTGCAGACTCGATGGGCTGAATGGCCTCTATTTGCACTGTAGGGATTCTATGATTCTGAGTTACTTAGGTTACGATATTAAAGTAGGTGGATGGTATTACAATGGAGAGAAGCCATGAACTAACTGAATGGCAAAATATGCTTGAGCAGCTGAATGGCCTCCTCCTGTTCCGATGTTCCTAAGTAACTTAATGGTTAGATTGATGTGTGCAGGAAAATGGAGAGAAACCAGAACCTTTGATCTTAACCGTCTGAGTTAACCACTTGACTCTTGTCTTCTCCTTAGGATCATCGGAAGGCAGATGAACGTCGGTTAGAAGCTGAAGAACATACTCTAGAGAGGAATAGGAGGTCAAACAAACCAGTTGCCTTAAACTCTCCCAAGAGTCTTTCTTCACCTGTCATACTGCCATCCAGCATGTGTTCTGCCAAACTTTCACCATGCCACCATTCTCCTTCTCTTGGACCCAAGTCAGGGTGTCCAACCCCCCAGCCCAGTGCTGTGTGTGCTTTACCTTCTTGCCCTTCTTCAGATCCTGCCACTGTCCCACAATCCTCAGCAGTCAGCCCTCCTTCCCAGAATTCCACAGAAAGTCAAACAGCTGAAAAGCGAGTGGAGAGACAACCACCTCAACATTATCCAGAAACCTTTGAGCCAGGTATGTCAACACAGAATAAGCTATTGTTATGGACCGGACCAATCCCCTCAAAATATATGAAGAAGATAGCCTAGACCCTAACTTTTTCTTATTTTAATGGTAAGTGCAAGGCGTTGCTTTCTAGATGCAATTCAGTTGGTCCAACTATTCAACTTAGAGCAAAACACATAACAGTTCTACCACTACAGTTAAGATACAGACTAAATAAAAATAAAAGAAAAGAATTGACTTAATTGTAAATCTATCAAAGTGCTTAACAAAGTAATATATTTATTAATTACAACCAAATAACTGTTCCAATATAGCAACATCCCATAAACACACCTTTGGCAAAGGTAAATTCAGTCAAATAGATTGTCTCAAGTGCAATTCTAGCAGCAGGAAAAGAATCCCAGTTTTTAGCTGTAACAGAGAGAGGAATAGGAGCTTCCACATCCAGCTTCAAGACTCCAGCAACTGCTGAAAGCTAAAACAAAAAATCTGAGTTCTGTGGGAGCTCGATCCCAACTATTCAGGCTGCTTCTATTGTTTCAACTTTAAAAAACAAATCCAGGCCTCATGAGCTGTTTACTTTATTGGTTTTGGGCAAACCACTTGGCATGTCTGTCCCAACCTTTCTTCATAAAAAGATCAGGACAAAATACACTTCTTAAAGCCATAGTATCGTCACACAATAAACGTTTTGGGTAGAATTGGAAGACTCCACTTGCTATGAATCCTGGTACTTCAAAATCTGACAGCACAACTAACTACTTCAGTAGAGCACTAGCCAACTGAGCAGTGATGTATTCCGCATATATTCGAAACCTGAGAGGCTTCCTAATACTTACTAAAATGAAAGGCAGCGACTCGTGTAATAGTGGATGAATTTGTGTATGATCAACCTTTATCTTTGTTCTTTCATGGTGTGTGGATGTCTCTGGCAGAGCCAGTGTTTGCTGCCCATCACTAATTGTCCTTGTACTGAGTGGCTTGCGATTTGGCCATTTCAGAGGAAACAGCCAGGAGCAGAACCAGGCATATCTAAAAATAAGGTGCCAACTTTGTGAAGCTACAGCAGAGGACTGCTTACATTCCAATCAGTTGAAGCAACCTGCAGTAGGAAAGCTGAAGTGACCCAACTACCAACAGGTCAGACCAAACTCCTGCCACATCCAGTCCCAAATGGTTAGTGACAATGAAACAGGTGACAATGTGGAGGAGGCTCCAGAAGTATCCCCACCCTCGTTTATGGATGAGCCCAGCACATCAGTGCTAAAAACAAGGCTGAATAGAACAGCAACTTAGTGTTGCTTATAGTTACAAGTGTTTGCAATCAGAGACACCAAATGGGATTTGAACCTGGGTGCCCAGAACATTATCTGGGTCTCTGGATTAACACTGCAGCGATAATACCACTAGGCCATCACTTCCCTGCTGTAACTGCTCAAGTCTTCTTTGATAGCACCTTGCAAACCCACAACTCTACCACCTGAAAGAACAAGAGCAGCAGATGCATAGGACTATCACCAACTGTGAGTTCCCCTCCAAACCACACACCATCCTGTCTTAGAATATATCTCTGTTCTTTGATAGTTGCTGGATCAAAATACTGGAACCCCATTCCTAACAGCACTGTGGTTGCGTTTATATCAGATAGACTGCAGCAGTTCAAGAAGGCACATTACCACCACTTTCTCAAGGGCAATTAAAGATCGACAACAAATACTGGATTTGCCAACGATGCCCACATCCCATGAATAAAATTTTAAAAAGGTGTGGGATGGCATAATCTGGGAATACTACTCTTGGGGATGGTCCACCAACAAGTGGAGTCTGTCATTGTTCATTTACACATTTCCCATTTTTGGATGCTATCAGGAATATATCGATAAACAGAGAACTTCTGACTTTTAAGAATATTTACCACTAACCACTGAGTAGACGATGTGGTAAATCAAACATTTTTTGGCATTCCAAAGAGAAATCGCAACTCATCAGCTTTCATCAAGGGAGAACTGCCGAGTAGGGGAAGTACTTAGACAATGAGATCCTCATCCTCATGAGCATGGAGAAGCTTATTGCCTGAATTTTCAGGTTGCATTGTGGGCAGGAATGTGGTGTCGTGAGCTAATCCTGAAAACAGTGGCACCAGTTAGTGTGCCAATTTCCCAACTCCAGTCATTTTTGTCGAGAGGCAGATTCAGGGCCAGCAGGGTTTCCAGTTGTTCACCACATTTAACGGAGCCTGACTGGGGATTTTCCTGATGCAGTTGCCTGGAGGCAGGTACCCAATGACAGTCTGGGGTATGGTGTGCCAGACAAGCTGAGGAACCCTCTCTGGATGGGACTGGGTGTAGCCAAAGGCTGTCCCTTGGGCAGGTTCCTGTTTCCTCCCCTCTTCTCCCCTTGCTCTTGGTTATGGCCTGGCTGCTAAATTTTTTTCTAAATTTTTTTGGGAAAAAGTTGTGGATAAGGCATCTCCATGTTGAAGCACTCTCCCAGTTCCTTATCCATTGCCCTCTGATTGGGCCCTCCCCCAGCTTTGAGAGCCCAGCAGCCACCCTTTACCTGTTCCTGTGCCAACTGTTTCCTGCTGGCTCCCACCGCCGCAAAACAGCCCTCCCGAAGAACAATCCACTCCCAGGACACAAACTGTCTGATTTCTCCTGAGGGAGACAAGAGAGATTATCATCAAAGAGAAATGCTATATAGACAAGCCTTGTTCTATGTTTTTGAATCTCAAAGTACTTTCCAGGGTGCTTAAATCTTATAGCCTGTCATACGAAAACCAGCTGAGAGTGCATTTGCAGCATGTTAAAGCCTAACTATTGTGCCCAGCAAACACATAAGGCAGTAAAATCCCACATATTTTCTTCTAATTGTCAAGTTTAGATGATCCGCAGCTGCTGAAACTCTTTTGTTTTAATTTGAACAAAGAAAAGGAAAATGTCTGGGCAGCCTTTGAGCTATGAACCCTTTTATCCTTCACCAGTCCTTGGGAAGGAAGCTGTGTGTTGGAAGGATACATTTTCATCTGGTGGTAATGTCAAAAGAGGCGGATGGATATCATTAATTACGCTCAATTGATGGCAAGGTAGTCAGGATGCTGCCAACCAGGATAAAGTCAGGGGCACCTTCAGAGTTTTTGGGGAAGACAAAGTAATAACATTTGTTTTGTTGCTTGAGCTCAGCGTCAGATGTACAGTCACGGAGATTATCAGTTCAGGATGGAGGGTGTCGCAGTGATGAGGTTTAACCCTTCCACTCTCAAAAGAAAACTGATAGCCTTTCTCAAAGTTTCCAAGCATCACCAGCCTCTGCTCCCACTTCCTGTGCACACTGTTTTTGTGTTCTGGTAGTACTTTTTAAACATTTATGTGGCAGTTTGTGAACATGAGACTAAAGCAATTTGCAGTTTCAAAAGTTTTACATAAGAGTAACAATCATGACGTTATGATTACAGCCACTTAAAGTGATGATTTGCCCTCTAAGCCATATTCTTTTTACGAGATTGAAAAGGCGAATAAATTAAAATGGACTTAATACAGCAACTGCATTGTTCTGTAGTCCTCCTGATCACAGCTATTGCTTTACAGAACAGGATCATAACAATTTAAAAAAAAACACCACGGACAATTATATGCCAGAAAAAATAAATTCTTGATCTCAGAAAACTCCCTCTGCCAGTAAATCCATATTGAGTATTTTGTTTTATTCATTCATGTGATGTGAGCATCGCTGGCTGGGTCAGCATTTATTGCCCATTCCTCATGGAGCTGAGTGGCTTGTTTGGCCATTTCAGAGTCAGCTACATTACTGAGGGAATCACATGTAGGCCAGACCAGGTAAAAATAACAGATTTCCAATTCTAAATGACATTGTGAACCAAATGGGTTTTAACAACTATTGACTGTAGTAACATGGTGGCCATTAAGTGGGCTTTTAATTCCAGATCTTCATTCAAAGTTCATCACTGCCGTGGTGGTGTTTAGACACACATGCCCTAGTCTCTGGATTACTAGTCCTCTACTCTACTGACTTCTTCCGGTAGTTGTTGATAGTTGTGTTGGATAAAGCATGCTCTTTCTCCCTCTCTGTTCCAGATCTCCCGCCTGGCTACACATACACAGCCGTCGCAATGGGCTACAGTTCCCCTTCTCCACTTGTGCACTCTGCTGACCCTGCAGACCCTGAAACTATGCAACCCATCACCGCGGCGGCTGAACCAGAGCAGTCCAGAACCTTTACGTCTGGTGAAAAAATTCACTGTGATTCTCAGTCAAACCTGGCGGAGGAGGCAAATCCGACTGACAAACTGATCGCAACCAATAACCTGGATGTTGTAGAGCAAAATGCGCATAAGGTTCTCTGCACTTCAGAAAAAAAGGATACAGTAAATGCATTGCTAGCAGAGAATTCAACTGTGGAGCAACTTGAGTCATCTGTGAAAGAAAACGTGGAATGCTCAAGGCACTTAATTGCTTCTCAGGGAATTGTCACTGATGGAGGACTTACAGGAGAAGAAGGAGGACGAGACAATTCAGTGACCAAGTCACCTCACTCAACCAGTGAATCCCCGATGATACCCGATGAAACATTGGATGTAAGGAATTCTGATCACTTGGGTTCAGTAGCTGAGACGGACTCAAACCAGGAATGCAGAATAGTTGAAGAAGCCAAACAGGTGAATCAAGATGAGGATTCAGAAACTAGCCACGATGCCTCAGAGAGGGATGATGTGTTCAAATGGCGGTTGGACTGCATGGCAGGGATGGACGCCCTGGTGGCTGCTGGCCTCAGAATGGGAGAGCTCTTTGGTCTAGAGCCTGAGGTTCCCAGTGGCCCCATAGCACCTTCATGCCCTACAACCTCAACCTATTACCCCTGCTCAGGGACACATGGAATAGCTCTGCTGAGTGAACTGGCTGAACTCGAACAGCAGCGACAGAAGTATGATGGCACCAGTCAAGGTAATTACCTTAAATTAAGTTGTCTCTGCTCTGCTTAGTATCAGTGTCTGCAGAATGATTCTTCAATTACTCTTTCTGACTATATTTAATCTTTAACTTTGATCGCTGCAATGAAAGAATAATCCCCTTGCTCCCCCTGCAACATACTCAAATTAAAGAACCTGGATGATGATAAAAGCGTATAATTTTTGTAAACCCCAGATGTCAAAGGTAGAATTTCAAAATAAAACTTAATTTAATTGTTCAGTAAATTTATCCAGCAAAGAACTAGAGAAAGCAGAACATCAAGAGACAGAACAAAATGCCATTGGTGTAGCACCACATCAAGATTTTGAAGATATCTCAAAGCAATTACAGTAAAGGAATTAGTTTTGAAATACAGTCACAGATGTGGCAACCAATTTGCACACAGCAAAGCTACTCAAGTAGTGAACAGAATTAGGAGGAATATTAAATAGAAAACTATTCAGTCTTTTCATTAAGTCAGGGAACTTTTGTACCCACCTTAGCTTGTAGACTGTATATCAGTTTGATGTTTTATCCAAATTTATTTTCAGAGATTCTGACTTTTGCTAAATTTGATAATCTGAGCCAGAAAGGTGTTAGGGATACTGGTCTTAACACACCTCATATTAAAAAAAAGGGAAGTCAGCCACAGTTCCTGCCTGCTACTTGTTATCCAGTAACACTTGGTGAAATTGTGTGAGTGAGGTCAGAACCGTGCATGGCTATAATGTTGAAAGTTGCCTGTCAACACTCACTGTCATGACTCAGCCATAAATTCCGGACACTTGGCTAAACTCCCAGACGGTGCTCAGAGTCCATGGGACTCTACCAAGTAGTCAACACCTTCATAGAGGGCAAAAGAGAACATTTGTTGAGAAAAGGAGAAAATGTATCGTCATAAACTAGCATAAATTCCCAAAGGAATGAAGGCCAAGTTTCTGAAATTCAAGGATTTTTCCCATCTGGTTTAACGCAGTTACAAATATGGTGTTTGCATCATATAAGAAGAAATGTAAGGTTATAACGAGCTGATAATGTTTGGGATTATAAGTGTTAGCAGTGAAATGATGTGTTTTACTCCAATATGCTGGTGAAATTCTAGATATTACAATAAAATGCATCTCCCAATTAAAAATCCTGTTTCAACTAGAAGTAAGATTCATGAAGATTATTACAACAATTTAATGATAAAGCTGTAAGGTGTCAGCCTTGGCTCAATGGCAGCATTTTCCACTGAGTTAAAAGGTGATAGGTTCAAATATGATCCCAAAAACTTCCGCACAAACCTTTTTTAGCAGTTCAGTTCAAAGGTATGCGAAGGAGTTTCCGGATTCCTTAGTAACAGTTGTCCCTCACCAATACCTAAATCGGATGATTGAATTATTTATTTTATTGCTATTTTTGATGTCTGGCCGTGCACCAATTGGCTACTGTATTTCTTATGTAATTATACTCCAGAATTGTTTCATTGATTGTAAAATACCGTAAATATATGCAAGCTCTTTATTTTATATAGTGTCAATAAGCTAAATTCATATATGTCAAAAAGTACTTCCACATTTGAAACATATGTTTAGCAACAACATTGCTAAGTAACAATAACTTGTCAAATAGCAAAATAATGTGGATACTCATAATTTAAAATTAAAACAGAAAAGCTGAAAATACTCAACATGCCAGGCAGCATCTATGAGAGATTAATCAAGTTCATAGCCTTTATCAGAACTGGAAAAAATTAGAAATGTAACATTTTCTAAGCAGCTGAGATGACCAAGTGTATCATAATAATGATAGGGTGCAAGACAGGAGAGATTAACTCATGAAAGAGCTGGTGGGGTAAAGTCAAAGGGAATGGTAATGGAAGACCGAAAGAAAGAAAGGAATTGCCTGGAGGACGTGTGAATAATAGAAAATGATGGGCAGCAAACATCCCAAATCTAAAAACCAGAGGAAAACAGAAGACCAAAACCTATAAAGGAAATAAAATCAAGATTACAACTTGAAGTTGCTGAATTTAGTGTTTAGTCTGTCTGTAATGTGGCAACTGTACTTAACTAAAAAAAGAATTGTGAATGCTAGAAATCTGAAACAAAAACAGTTCTGAAGAAGGGTTACTGAACATGAAACGTTAACTCTGCTTTCTCTCCACAAATGCTGCCAGACCTGCTGAGTTTCTCCAGCAATTTCTCTTTTTGGCAACTGTTCTTGTTGTGCACCACCTCTAATACAACAAAATTCCCATGAAGCTTTAGAAAGAGAGATGAATAATTGACACTGACACGGAGTTGAGAGAGGAGTTAAAGCAAATGGTCGAAAATACAAGATTTCAGGCTGTTTGTGAAAATAGAGAAAATGTCATAATGCAGAGAAGTTTAGGAAATGAAGCCCAAACCAAAGGGGACGGTAATTGCCCAGATTCACTGGAAAGAGAGTTTGCAGTTTGGAATGTGAACCAGTGGGATGTTACAGCAATAGGATGAGCAAAAGGCCTTTTAGGCAAATAAGGTAAATGCAAATGAGATCATTTATTCACCAAATTCCGAAGGGTTTGCTGAATAAAAACTATTTCACAATAAAATAGTTTTCTTACAAACCCCATTAAAATAGCTTGGGAACATGAAGTACATGATTAATTTTACTACGTTTATGTTCTTCATAACAATTGTTTGATTTCTTCAACTTTGTTTGAAATAATGTGGCCATTGTCACTCACCAGTGACGCTAAATGCTGCATATATTTTAACTGAAATGATATAATCCATTTAAAATGAAGCTACTTTCCAACTGAGGATTTTGGGATCTCTTGATATGAAAACAGGCCTTTATAAAACTCATGTTTTATTGTAGCACAGGTCACAAAAGGATGTGATGCACAGGATCAAATTAGTGGATCATTTCTTTCTTTGATATTTATAGAACAAACATGGCAAATGCAACAATGGCTTATTTCCTGAATATCAAAACCTTCAAACTCTTGCCAAAAAAAATCCTCGGAGCCTGAAGCCCCTCTGTCTTTGTGTTACAAAAAGATAAAGAATTTGTCTTGTAAAACGATTCTCCCCAAGGACCCACATTTCACTCTGATCTCAAAACATTGAGAGAAAACAATGCCAAGCGACTGTGATGTTGGCCCACTGCAATCAAACACTTCCTCCTGCCCACACCGGCATGGCAGCAACCCTCTCTGATCACTTCCTGCAGCTTTCAGACAGCAGTTTCACACGGGGAGCAACTTCCCCACGAAATTACTCAATTACAAGCAGAACAACACGTAACTGCCTTGTTTAGAAAAATGTAAGGTTCAGAAAAGAGAACACTAGCAAATTGCTTTGATTTATCCACTTTAGAAATTGAAGACTGCTCAGCTGAAATAAATGATGCAACAGGGAGCTGGACAGTGTTTTACAACTCAAGGGATGGAGGGATATAAGAGTTGAGAGTAGATCATATTATTAAAAAATATATGGAACCACCTTCCCTCCCAGATAAGTGTTTTTCAGTCTTGTACGTTTAACATCCTCTGGTTGCACAATTATGCTTGAATGATTCATTTAGAAAGAAAAAAAAATGTTTGAGGCCTTTTGTTGTCAGAGATTAATTTTTTTTCTTTTAAGACTATGATTTTGTTATTTAGATGTTGATGTTTGCCTGGAGGTGTATGAGTCTGTTTTTACAGAATACAAACATATGAATTAGGAGCTGACAAAGGGCATTCGGCCCATCAACCTGTCCCACCATTCAATAAGATCACGACTGAACTGATTACTCCACATTCCTGCCGAGCCACAAGAACCTGGCTGGAGGCCCACATTGTTATTCATTAGCAGTGGGAACTGATTGGTGAAAAGCAATTGAAAACAAACCCTGCAAATTACCTGGAAGCATCTGTTATGTAAATCCCATCTTTAGATGCTAGAAGGTTCAGGAGGTTTCGAACATTGCTACGCTGCCCTGAACCGTTCTCTGTGTCAATCTCTACCCCTCGACACTCCGCCAAACACCCCTTCCCCCTGATTGTTTCCCTAAAGTCAGGATTGCTATTGGCTATATTTCAAAATAAATAGGTTTGCTAATTTGAAATTGTTTGCACAGTAACTGTTGCGCTGTCGGGAAATGCATTGCACACAACATGTCCCAAAAATATCAACGTGATAAATAATCAGATACCCTGCTTTAATGGTCCTTTTTTGGGGGAGGAGGGGATGGTTAAATGTTTGATTAACATTCAATTAATTAGCCACATTAAGTGTAAATAAGCCCAAGGGATGATGGACTTCATAGACCTCCTTAAAAATTGGACTGATCAGGGGTGGGTAGGTAGTAGGAAGTTCACTGACTAGATTGTACTTTCCTGTCCACTTCCAAATCCTGAACCCAGCATCTTTTCTGAAAGCAGCAGCTCCCTTTGAACTGGATTGAAGGTTCTGCTTAAGCTGTATTGGAGTAGGGCGTGATCATGCAGCCTCTGAGTTAGAGGTAACATTGCAACCACTGAGCCAAGGCTGAAACCTTTAGGAGGTGGTTCTCAGGGGTTTCTTGGGAGGCCATGGTATTGTTGACATCAGATAAATGTTCTAAGCTCATTCTGGCTGCGGATGGACAGAATGCTGAGCGCACACACCACACAAGCCGTGAGTATGACTTGTCATTCCAGACACTTGCTGAAATGTCAAGCATGCTGCAGTTGTTTCTCAGTTGCCACCAGTGCCCAGGATTCCAGCTCACAATGTAAACAGGCTGCTCATCAGGGACGAACTAACATGTGTGCTGAACATAAAGTGCTGCCCGTTGTTCTTTATAAAGCTTGCCTGATTCTGGCAAGGGCATTACCTGATGCACCAAACACAGGTTGCCTGCACTATCACCCAAGATCAATATCCTGTAACGCTTAGAAACAAGTGATTAAAACTCATTAACACCCAATCACTCAGTCAAGGAATGGTACATAGTATGTAAGTGGAAAAATTATAAACTTGGCTTTCAATGTTATTTGA